TTTCATGACTTGCATTTTCTTATAAGATTGAACATGTACCATTGATCTTGGTGACTTGTGGGATGAGAGATATGAGCCTTCAATTCCATACATATGTCATCAAGATCATATGGAAGGTGTTAGACCATTTATCTCTAATTTTTTAAACTATTTTCCTATCAATTAATTCAAATATGAATAATAATATTATACTTGCAACTTTCACATGCAAACCTCCCCACACTTTTCCGCAGTTTGATTTTAACATTATATAAAATCAAACTTTCCAAAATATAATATCTTTTTCTTCAAGCCATGATTCAATAAAATAGAAAGTGAATGGGGTGGGGCGTGCCCCACTATGGTGGCTTCCATGGGCCCCACCGAATTGCTATGGTGGGCTCATATGTAATATTGGGCATCCTATGCAATATTAAATTATTTAAAAATAACGATTTTAAAATTTTTATAAAATCTCATTTAAATATTTAAATCAATATAAAATCAATATCTTTATTTTTATAAATTCAATTTTCATAAAATAAAATACCTAGATATGTTTAAAAAAATTCAAATAACAATTCTAAAAATCAAATATCATTATAACAAATATAATTCAATACTTTTGATGAGAAATTGATTCATATGGTCTAGGAATAAGTACTTAAACATTGAGGCACTTCACCTTCTACTATGAACTACGGTCTATACTTGCTTTCTCAAACCGACCCAGTATTGCCCATGACCCCACAGTCTATGTAGTGGCTTATTAGTGAGTCACCAAAGTCTGATAAATAGGCAAGATGTCGTAATCTCAGTTGTAGATTTCAAATTCTCCCCTATATACATATCAATATCACCTAGACTTGATGCAACCACAGCTCCATGGTGTATACGGGTAATATCTCGCACATGCACAAGCTTCACTATGAAAGGTGATTCGCTTTCCTAAAACGGCCATCATATATGCATGCCGTGTGATGGTACGCGAATGAGGCTTTGGCCCCCGTTTATGAAGGCCTTCGTCACACACAAGAGCTACACAGTCCCTCGGCTCACTCATTTGGGCATACTTCGACCTTATAAGTGATGACTTATTATAACTCTTATTGATTTAATCTCTATGCTCAAGTAACATGGGTTTTTTCCAACTGATTGGCTTAGCACGTCAAGATCAGTCGGGTAACAGCAAACATCGTTTGCTTAGTATGATCTACACAAAAACTATATTCCTACTGAGTTCATGTTCATTTATATCAAAAGTTTAATTACAAACACTCATAGGGCATTTAATGGCCACACATACCCAACAATGCTCACATACTTGTTATTTTGATCCCCAAATATGTCCATAACGATTTTTTAAGTTTCACAGAAAATATACATCATTAAGAGATCAAAATTCTCTCACACTTCAATTCCTCATCCCCATCTTTCTTGGCCCATTTTTCCCCTTTAAATCTCATCTTCAAAATCTCCAAAACCATGATACATTCATCGAGGTAATATTAATGGGTTATCAGGGTGGATCACATATTTGTCATGTGGGCAAGGGATAAGAGAGAGGGGTGGCATTGTTGGGTCTGCCTTAGTACAAAAGCTTTTGCTCTTTAAGTGAAGGGCTTGTGGTTGTTCAAACATTACAAAGCATGCATTTTGCAACTTGATTAGATGAGATCCAAATTTTTTATAATTATGTGGACATCCAAGCTACAACTAAGTTGGAAAATTGATATATATACCAATTTTTCCATAGGGACTATCTGGGTGGGAGCCACGATCCGACAATACCACTAATGATATCCGTGTTAGCCATGGTACGATTCGACAATACCACTAGCGATATCAGTATTAGCCATGGTAGTAGTACATGATTCATCTATTGAAGATATGCCTAGAGCCATTGAGTGTCCATGTCATTCTATTCCCCAAGGAATATTTGTGGTTCTCGGGCATATTCTTATTTTTTGCATTTTTATTTTTTAATGTGATTTAGCAGGGAAGAGGTTTCTTATTTTTAACAAGAAACTCAATACGTTATGATGTAGTACCATTGCCACCCTAACTATTAGCAACAATGTCGTCCTTGTCAAACCCAGTTTGTGTATTTATTTTTAAAAATTTATGCAAACATGTGGTGAGATATGAAAGAGAAAACTGATACTTTACTAAGGTTAGCTCGACATTTTATCATGTATTATGTTAAAAAGGGTGTATATATCTAAATTTACGTACTTAAAACTACTTCAAATGTGGGAAATCCTTAAATTATTAGGAGTATAGCAAAACTACACTTAAAACTACTTCAAATATGGGAAATTCTTAAATTATTGGAAGTACAGGGAAACTATAATTTTTTTATTTTTTGACGAATAGAAAAACTATATTATTATTCTACGGTGCATTTTCTTTTAATTGTACATTTCTTTTTTCCTTTTCACCTCTGTCCTTTTATATTCGTAGTAAGTTTCTTTTCCTCCAAAATACTATCAAGAAATTTTAGTTAATGTTTTAAAATTCACCCGAAAATTCATCTCACGAAAGGTTCCAAAAGAAACTCAAAAGTTTTGTATGCAAAAATAGCTTATTATCTCCAAAATTTGAGTGCAAAGTATGTATGACCCTAGATAATCCATAACCATCCATGGGACCTTAGATAATTCATGGTTCCAATAAGCTCATCGCCATCCAATCAATTGATGTATGGGACCCACCAGAACATCAAATGGCCCAAGTTGCATGTCTACTTCTCTATCATTAGGTAAGAGATATTTATAACTTTAGATTATACAAAGCAATGGTTTAAAAAACGGATCGGTGA